AAAAAGCCCAAAAAACTAACATTGCAAACAACTAAAGTCTATTCAAAACTCTCCCTTTTTATAAGGGGGGAAAAAAGACTTTCCCTTTTTTCTGCCCTTGACTCTTCCACAGATCTCCCACTTATTTCATGGAAAGTCCTGTGTCTCTCCAGTGCAGAAAGATGTGTTTTCAAATGCACCCCTCTACCACCACAAGCATTACATTAGCAAATTTCCCTTTCTGCTTTGAAAGCTTCAGGATCCATGCTGGAACAGGATTTGTTTAGACTGGTTCTTTTTAAAATTGTGGTGAAAATTTCAGCAGTAAATGCTTTGGCTTTAACTGAGTAGACAATAGTTTAATTTATGAATTTCATATTAGTTCTACAATTTGGTGTATTGAAAGGCATACAGAGCTGTGCTGCTTATTTCAAACAGAATGGACCATACAGCTGGGATTTGATTTTACTCTCCAGAGCAAAACCACAAGGCTTCCCTTCATGTGCAATTTTTCACACTCAGCCAGATTCCAATGGGTTACTTGTTATGTAAATCCTATTGGCTATTGCAAAGTGAATTTGGATTACAACTGTTCTGAGGTCCAAATTGAGTCCCTTTTGTGCTGAATTATTAACTTTCTATGCCAGATTTTAACTTACAGATGATTGGGGCCTGATCTTGCAAACATCACAAAACACTTCTTAGGGTACTGTAAACAACAAAAAGCCATGGTTGTGTTTCCCATAGTGTGCTATCTCTGTCCGCTTAAAACACTAAGAGATCCAAGCTGAGAGAATCTTGGCAAATAACTTTTTTCATGTATAATTAATATGGAATTTATCATGTAGTATTATACATAAATTAATGTGTAATACTGTATGATAAAATTCATATAAACCAGTATTTAAAAGATACTATAAAAGAAAGAACCTGTAAGATCAGAATGATCAAAAAACCCCACACACGGCAGATGCAGACATTATGGTCATTATCTATGGCTTTAAATATAGTAATGCAGGATTGCAATGATTCTTTCAAATGAAAAATAATTTACAGCAGACCAAATTATCTTCTCTTACACAGGCATACATATCCCAGAGGGCCCCTTTCACTTCATTTGGATCAATGGAGGCAGCATTGCTTGCCCTGACATAATTAATAGATACTGACCCAACAGTCATAGAATAAACAGTTTGGCAGTACTAACATCTGCAAGTTATAGAGCTAAATCTATAAACACAGTTTAACTTGGTATATATTCCAGAATGTTTGTCCCAAAAGAAGGACAAGCATAAAGTTCCCAGACAGAATCCAGATGCAGCAAGACAAGTGGAATAGCATCTTTGGTGCAGAAATTCCATTTTTGCCCTTTTAAAAACTGATCCATTTTAGTTAAAAATGGGTGTGGGGGGGGGATAATTTTCTTAATACCATAATGAGTTTCTATACCTAGTGTAAAAAAACAAAAACAAAAAATTGCCAGCCCTTGGAACTCAACTTGACTAAACAGAAATTCAAACAAGCAAATGGGTAAAGTATCCCAATCCATAATGAAAAGTGCTGGGGAGTAATAATACAGCCTAAGCAGTGCTCATTGCAGGAGAGTGGAGTTGTACTCTTTCACTCACAGAGCCTTATTTCCTTTTTTTTTGGGCAATCAAAATAGCAACTTTAGAATTACTTCATATCTTAAAATTGGATCCTACCCTCAGCTGCCTTGTGGCCTGACCCAATACCTATTGAAGTCAATGGAACACTATCATTAAATTCAATGGAAGTTGCATCCAACACTGATTTACAAGAATCTCCCATTCCCCCATGCAATACACAAGGTTACTGTGACGAGCCCACATGCCTCTACAGTGACATGCACACCGTTTTCCCAATGGGGAATGGCCACCTGAGTAGCTGAGAATAGTATGCTGCCCTTTGCTCACTGTGATAGTTTGTACTAAGAGATACTTTCTGTACTTAGCTGCTCAGATGTTTGAGTGTAGGGTATTTGTTCATTCATGAACAAGATGTTCATCCATGTTGTCTGTAGTTGTTCATTCATGAATTTTTAGCCCTCATGCTAACATGATTGAGTATCAACCCTGCTCCTAATTGCTTTTAGGAAACTAGACTTGTCACTTCCCAGTGTTAGAAGATATGTTGACAGTCTGACATGATTCACATTTTTCAGATAAATCTTTGTTTTCCATACATTCATTATGGCAACTGACATGTCTGTATTTTCAATGGTCTTTCTAAACGGTTTCATTCATTTTATAGGGCCCTATCGGTTCTGCTGGTCCTCCAGGTTTCCCAGGTGCTCCTGGTGCCAAGGTATGAATATCTTCTCCTTTTACACATTAGGGAGAGGCAAAATGTTGTAGCTAATGCCTATAGGCAGCAAAGTGTAGTTTGGCATCTGAACTGGGATGCTTTTAAACCAAACATTGTGACAGATCAAAATGAGGAAAAGCCCTTGGAGGCTTCTGGAAACAATAGTAATAGTACTTTAAATCATGGAGACTTTACCATGATGGGGTTTTTTTATTTTCCTAAGTATTTGCAGGAGGGGGGTGTAGCCCTGTTCCATATAGTGCTCAAAATGGCTGTATTTGCATGTATACAAACCAAATGACCAGATGTCAAAAACTCTGTGAGATGTCATGCAGTAGAGAATTGGATCACTTACATTCTGAGTTCTGAACACTATTATGGAGAGCTGACATGTAAATATTTTAAAATAAGTGAAATTTCACTTTGATTCTTAAATAATTTGCTGAAAACTAAAGGTTAAATCCACTTTGTATAC